AACAAAAAAAAAAAAAAAAGTGATTCGGAAAACATGCCTTCGAACAAAGCTGTACTCTGTAATCCTAGAATGTTAGAAATACCAAGCAAATTGTTCAAGCTGGAGCAGGGAAGGCTTTACTATGCGACAACGCTGGAAAGGTTAAGTAACGTTAGTGCATCCCCTCACTGAACCAGCCTTTGGTATGACAACGGGTCTGAAGCCTCCAAAGTCAATGTTAAGAAAAATTAAACAATTAGGCAGAAAATGGCAAGGAGACTGCTGCAGATGATGGGCTGAAGAGCCCTAACAAGTAAGTGCAATGTATGCCCTTAAAGAGATGTGAGCCCGGCATGGTGGCGCACCCTGTAATTCCAGCACTCAGGGGGCTGGGGCACGAGGACCACTTGACTTTGAGGTCAACCTGTGTTATTAGTGAGTGCAAGGCCAGCCTGAACTACATAGTGAGACCCTGTCTAAAAAAACAACAACAAAAAAAACAGAATGGGTATACAAAAAAACCAGTTAAAGACAATTTTGAGACCAAAGAAATGTGAAGACTACACATTATATGGCTATCATATAGGACAATGTCCTTGTTCTTAGATTTATAACATTTACAAAATAAGGTTCTACCAAAGGCAGAAAAGTTTTTGTCAATGGCAGTAAAAAAGCGCAAAAGATCTGAATAGGTGACTCACAGAAGACGGAATTCCAACAGCTACTCTGCATATGACATTCAACTCCACTAAGAGTAAGTAAGGCGGATACAAACAACACAGTTCACTTGACTCAGTGACCCTGGAGTTTAATCCCTGGTACCAAAAAACGCCCCCCACAAACCCCCAAAACCAAATAAAATAATGTAACCAGTACAATTATGTAACTGGGGAAAGGGAGGAGGGAAACTCAGAGAAAACATACTATTTTTATTAGAATGGAAGAAATACCAACATTTAAAATTTGAGATTCCCAAGCTGGGCGTGGTGGCGCACGCCTGTAATCCCAGCACTAGGGAGGCGGAGGCAGGAGGATCGGAGGCAGGAGGATCGCTGTGAGTTTGAGACCAACCTGGGCTACACAGTGAGTTCCAGGTCAGTCTCAACTACATAGTGAGATCCTGTCTCAAAAAACAAAAAACAAAGCAAAACAAAAAAAATTTGAGATTCCCTTTAATAGATATTATAAAACCTAACATTTAAAACTAGTGAGTTTTTTAAAGACAGGGTCTCAATTTATGTAGTTCAAGCTGGCCTCAAACTTGGGGAGTTTCTCCTGCCTCATCCTTCAGAATGCTGGGATTATAGGTGTGCACCACCATGCTTAGCTAAAACCTGTGGTCTTAGTTCAAGAAGGCAATAACAGATGCATCCGATCCCCTTGTATTTAAATTAAATAAAATATAACAATTTTAACTTTGCTTTATTATATCTCAAGTGGAATAAAAAAAAAAAAAAAAAAAAAAGATTCTTAGATACCTATGGCTATAGCCAATAAATGCACAGGGGGGAAAAATTAATGCATTGGGGAATTAAATAAAGTGGGCCACTCCTCTAGTCCTGAAATAAGCCATATAAAACTTATTATTCATTAGGAGGTAGATACAATAAAACACTAACATTCATATAGTGTTTACTATGAGCCAATGTTTTAAGAACCTTAAGCTTACTGCCTAATTCAATCCTTGACTAAATACTTCTGGAAAATTGATGCTTTGACTTTAACTCATATTTTACAGATTTTAAAATGAAAACACGGAGAGATCACATAAATTTATCCATAGTCACATAACTAGTAGCTATACAGCTAGGCCTAAAATCTGGGCAGTCTGGCTCCAGAGTTCTTAACTATCACTACACAAATGTTTGCTATTATAGGGATACTCCTGCCAGAGGAGTATACAAGATCATGTATAGACCTAGAACTCAGACTAAAGTTCATTTACTCCCGGTAGCCACAGGATAAAAATGTTTCGTTAACTTGGAGTGTCAATTTAATTTGGGGGTCTGATTAAATTTTTAGAAAAAAAATTACAGATTTTGCTCTTAATGCTGTTTCAGATTCTAAACCATGCCCCACTCCTTTCCCAAAAGAAGCCTGACAATAGTACGTGAACACATTCCGTGTCATCCATCGCTGATGATAAACATTTGAAAATCACGATCAAATTTGGCTTATAAAAATCTTACCCTTTTGCTTCTGGACAATCTGAATCTTGTAATGTTGCCAAATTGAGAGAAATACGCTTTGATTTGGGATTCAAAAAGTACTGCAGGTAGGTGACCCACAAAAATTACTCCACGTGTAAGTTCTTCTTGCTTTTCCCGTTCTGGCTTATTTTGCTGACAACATAAAACACCAGATAAACACTTTCAAAACACAGAAATCACACTGTTGCACAACTTTCCAAATCTCTAGCTCTTGGTCCAAGAACATACCACTACTTTTACTTATCACGGCATAATTTTAGAATTAGCTGTTTCGCGTCTGTCTCCCCACAAAGACAATCATCAGTTAATAATCTTCTCAGCCTCCCATCCCAGCATCATCATTGGGTATGTGCTCAAGACCGGTACGTTTAGCCAATGGGTAAGCAAATAAATCTTAGATCACTAACTCTTCTGCCCGGAGAGCGCCACATATACGTGCCTTAACTCTTACAGATCACCTTACATTCAAGTGAATAAACTTCAAGAAGCTTAATAACCTTCACAACACCACGCTTATTTTTAGAAGAATTTATTTTCCATTAAAAAAGGAATTTATTTTCCGTTTTAAATTACCGGGGACACAGACCTCACCAACGCTAGGTCTCACGTCCCTTCTTGGGGGCACAGCAGAAGCGACACAGCTCTAACACGGTACCAACTGGCAGCTTGGGGGTGCCGTCCTCCCTGGCCCCTAGCGGGTTCGGTTTTCCCCACCAGCCACAGCCCACCCTCCCTCTCGTTTTCCACACGAAGCCCCTAAGGCCGACAGGGCCAATCCCCACGTGGTTTGCCGAACAGCGCCCGCCCCTCCCGGGAACCGCGGTCTCCCCGAGCTCCCGAGGCCGGCGTCACACCCGACACCGTGGGCGACCGCAGAGAAAGCAAGCGATCGGGGACACTCGCCGCCTTCCAGCCTCAAATCTAGGCAGTCTGGCTGCAGGCCCCTCACCTGGGTCACGCGACGCCGAACCTGCGCCACCTCCTTCTGAAACTCGGCATCTTCCTCTGGATTCAGAGACAGAATTGGAGCCGCGGGACCAGAAGACACCGCCATGCTGAGAGGAACCCAGCACTCAGCTCCACGCGGCGCTCCCGGAAATGCTCGCGCTCCGGGCTTCTAGGAAGCGGAAGCAGAGGCGGGAGAGCGGTGTGGCGAGGCTCGGGGGCGTGGTAGAAAGTACGGTGGCTGCAGAGGCCCACCATGGATCGAGCTTCGCGCCCCCTGCTGGTCAGGTGCCTCTTGCCGGTCTCACTCCATTTTCAAGATGCAATGTCCAAAATCGTTGTGTTTCAAACCGAGTTTAAAAAATAAACTCCAAAACAATACGTTTGTCCTTGATATCTTGTTATTCATTCTTTCATTTGTCTAGTATTTCGTTTTATCACCCACGTTTTCACTTTCTCTTTTCTTTTCTTTTCTTTTTTTTGAGACAGAGTTTCCAAGATGCCAAGGCAAATCTGAAACTCGGGACCTTCTTGCCTCAGCTTCCTAATAGCTGGGATTTCACTGTTCCTGGTCTGTGTGTTTTCTTTTTGAGAGGGGAGGTCTCATTTTGTTGCCCTAGCTGATCTCGAACGAGACTCTTAGACTCCAGGTGACTTCCTGCCTCCAACTACCCAGTGGTTGAGACTACAGAGCGGTTCCCACTCTTGGCTTAGAAGTTTTTTTTTGTTTGTTTGATTTTCTTAAAAGCAAACTTTATTTCGAAAATACGTTAGCCGCCTCCTTGTAGTCAATTCAGCTGGTGTTCTACAGAAACGGACCGTGAGTTTCTGTTGAAGGTGTTAAGAAACAACATGCTGTTGTGGCATTCTGACTACTGAACAGCATGCTGATTTTGAGTTAAGGGCGCATGAAAAACGGCAGGATGACTCTGATCTTCCCTATCGCTCATTGAGGATAAAGCATTGACGCAGAAGGAAACTGTGTAAACAAACCTAGTTAAGCCGCCTAGCCACTTCCCCGTTAACTACTTTACTCCGAGTCCTTGTGCAGTCATATTTTCACAATTTACTACTCTGTCCAGCTGGAATAGGTATTTGACTGTATCTCTGGGTTCTGTGCCACATACAGCTTGTACTAAGTAAATTTGTATGTTTTTCTCCACTCATATTTCTTATGTCAATTTAATTTTCAGGCACAATTGAAAAAAAAAAAACGCTGAGGACAGAGGTAAAATTTTGGCTTCCCTACAAAATATCTTCAGGAGCAGGGTTGTTTACCTGAAGCACAAATTTTTATTCATGTCATGGAGTCTTGGGAAATAGCAAAAACTGAAGATTACCCTTAGCTGACCAGAAATTGAAGGGGAAAAAATTGACTCAAGAAATTACCTTCTAAGTATACTGAATGTACAAAATATAATCTTAAGAATCACAATTTTTCTTAGCTTCTGTTTGAGCAATTATACAAGCCCTTAAATGCAGCAGTGGAACTAAATGGGAAAAAATTCAAAGTTATTTTATTTTTTGTTTTGTGAGACAGGGTCTGGCTATATAGTTCAGGTTGGCCTTGAACTCACTGTGTGGTCTGTGCAGGCCTTGAACTCGTGGGGATCCTTGTGCCTCAGCCTTCCGAGGGCTGGGATCCCAGGTGTGCTCCACCAGACCTGGTTCAGAGTTATTTTAGAAGACCAAAAATTGCTGTGTTTCTAGATCAACACAAGGACTTTGCTAACTACCAATAAAAGTGACATGTCTTTACTATGTAGAAATCAAACAAGATCAAAACAGCTTATTATATGATTAATAATTCTATAATGTAAACTTATAAAACATTTCCATGTAAACTGTTGTATGAACACTTGAAAGCAATCTGAATGAGAAAAAATATTTCAGAAGACAAAAAATTATCCCAATGTTTTTGGATTATCTTAGTGAAACTGGTAACAACTCCAAAAATACTACAATTACTTGATTGACTGCATGATTACATAATGATAAACTAGCGAAATTTACATATTAAGCTATGGTTGTGAAACAACCTACAAATTATCATTTTATCACACTTCCAAATGAGCTATTGTATAAATGCTGAACAGTACCAAAACTAAAGGAAAAAATATAAGAAACATTCTAGTAGAAGAAAATTTTGTTGTGCTAGTAGTTTTTGTTGTTGTAACTTCAGGGAGACATTCTCTTGGTAAGGAACTTTTAAAATTTTATTTTATGTTTTTATTAGTACACGTTTGCAGTACACAATGATTACATTCATTGTGGGGAGTTGGTGTATTTATATACCACACCATAATTCTTTTTCATCCCCCTCCCCTCCTTTACCTCTATTCCCTTTTGCAAAAGATCTGTTTCCTAGTATCTATCTTTAATTTTGCTCTTTAACTTATTTACAATTTAGGTTTCTCATATAATACAAACCATGTGATATTTAAGCTCATGTGTCTGAATTATTTCCCTTAGCATTATGGTCACAAGGTGCTTCCATTTTCCTGCAAATGAATCAAAGTTATCCATCTTTATAGCTGAGCAGTACTCTATTGTTTACAAATACCTCACTTTCTTGATCCATTCACCTGTCAATGAACATACAGGCTGTTTCCAATATTTAGTTATTGTGAGTTGTGCTACTATAAACATAGGCATGCATGTATGACTGTATTATAATGTATTTAACTCTTGCATTTCCATAATTTCTGTGGTTTCTTTTGCCATTGATTTCTAGTTTCATTGCACTATGATCTGAAAATATGCATGGGATAATTTCAATTCATTTGTATTTACTTAAACATGATCTATGTGCTATTATGTGGCCTATTTTGGATATCTTCCTATGTGTAGCTGAGAAGAATGTGTATTCTGATGTGAGATGGAACACTGTAGACATATGCTAAGTCCATTTATTAAAAAATTTAATTTGGTTCTGATTCTTTTTTGATTTTTTTGTGATTTTTTTTTTATTTGTCTGTTTGTGGTATTTTTGCTGATCTGTCTGTTTGTGATGGTAGAGTAGTGAGGACCCCCCCATTAGAATTGCGTTGGTGCTTTTTCATATCCATAATATTTGTTTTATGTAGTTGGATGCCATGGTATCTGGTGCAAATATATTTATCATTGTTATCTCTTCCTTCTGGATTGTTACCTTTACAAGGATGGAGTGACCTTTGTTTGTCTTAATCAGTCTTGGCTTGAAATCTGCTTTGTCTGCAAATAGAATAGCTGCCTGTGCTTTTCTCCATGTTCCTGTCACATGGAGTATTGTTTTACATCTTTGGCTTTAATTCTATGAATTAAATGTTTCTTTTATGCATCATATTGTTGTCTTGATCCATTCTACCAGTTCGTTTCTTTTTATTGGTGAATTGAGACCACTTACATTGATGCTTATAACTGATTCGTTTCGATTTATCCTTGTCATGTTGTGTTCCTGTTGTTGGTTCCCTTATTTTCCCCCCTGTTTAATTACTTGCCTTGCCTGGTGGATTCATTCAATTGGGACTTATGGAGTTGTAGTTCTTGTTATGTCTTTCAAGAATATCCTTAGAGTTAGAGTTAGAGACCCATTTCCTTCATTCTTTTCTTCCTTGCAATGCTATATTCCAGCTCTGAACACCAAATCTGGGAGATCATGAGACGTTTCTCTGCTCTTCACTGCTCTACCATCTTCCCCACTAGCTTTGAATTAGTGAAGCTTACAGAAAGAAGTGCACTGATCATTTTGCTTAGTAAGTTATATCAGCTTTGAGCTTGCCAAACACATCATTGATCTATGTTTTACTTTATCTCCTCCTGTATAACTTCATTTTCAACCATGTCACTTTTGATTAACCCCACCAATTTCCCATGGATCGGCTTTGGAGGAGCTGGGAGCTATTGGAGGCACTTTTTGGCCTCGTTTATTCTTTATTTCTATTTATTTATTTATTTATTTATTTATTTATTTATTTCGCTGAGGTGAATGCTGATCATCGTGAAAGGCTTTGTTGCTAGTTTGCAGATCTCCTTAACTGGTGTTTGCTTTCCAGTGATACACTCTGGGCATGCCCAACTACAACCCTTTATGTCTGTTCCAGCATCAAACCACCTTTGTTAATTTGGGGAGGGGAGTGTGGGGTACAATTGGCGCATTGGTATAATAATAACCCAATGGTTTGAAAATAAATCACAACACTATTGATAAAAGACAAAGTAGATGTTTGCATACAATAAAATCAATTAACAGCAAAAATTTTGCCACCCTGGCATTAGCAATGACATCAACAACAATAATAGATTCAAAGACAAGCTGAATATGATGCCATGAGAACCAATAATAGCTGTATGAACCTTAACAATTTAACAATAGAAAAGAGATCTGCAATAATAATATTGGCCCTAAGACAAATCAAATATTGACATATAGTAAATATCTAGTAAATGCAAAACTATACCACCATTAAGGATAGAAAAGAATTCAACAATAATAGCATAGAGTCAACTAAATATGTAAAGATTCTTAATGATCGATAGATCGCTGGGTGTGGTGGTACAGGCCTGCAATCCCAGATCTTGGAGGCTGAGGCAAAAGGATCACTGTGCATTTGAAACCAGCCTGTGCTACATAGTGAGTTTGGTGTCAGTCTGGAATATTTAGTGAGACCTTGTCTCCAACAAAACAAAAAATCTTGATAGTAATGCTAATAAAAATGGAGGGAGTGGGGGAATGCAAAATGAAATAAGTAAAATTGAAAAAGTAAAAGGGAGATGAGACAGCGGGGGAGAAAAGCATCATAATGCAGAAGGTTTTTAATAAGATGGGATCCCACTTATTGATATCTTTCCATTTTCTGATATGTTCTTTGATCTCCTTTTCCCCAAGTACTGTAGTTTTCAATGTAAAGGTCTTTTACTTTGTTAGATTGATTCCTAGAATCTTATATCCTGGAAAACCCACTGCACTGCTGGTCCTAGAGAAGAAATAGAAAATGCATGTGCAGTGATCTCAATGACCAAGGTTACCCAAGCAGCAGTTTGATGTACTGGAAGCTCATGGCCACCACTCTGATCACCGCTTGTAACTGTAGAGGCCAAAGGTAACTTGTATTAATCTCATGATAGCTCAATAAATTTAGTATTAAAATACATAAGTTTTTCTTTTCCTGAAGTGTTCACATATTTTTGGTGGACTCTGTAAATATACTACAATATTTGAAGCAAA